AAATTCCGTTTTTTTTTTTTTTTTTTTTAAGATTTCTTTTCGTCTAAAATTAATGCTATTACCGCTAATTCGTTTATCGATAGCTTTGCCATGTTCACAGTTCAGATGTATGTCTCAAGACTGATGTTTCAAAATATTCACGGATGCGAGCCGGATATGTGTAAATACTCATATCGAATCTTGCCGGTACGGTACGGACACGGTACGGATACGGTACGGATATGTATAAACGGACCTTTAAGCGGTTACGTGTGTACTCGCTCATGCACGAACAAGCTCATCTGCACCGCACCTGCTCGACGACGGTGTACACCGGCGAGCGCGGAAAGCGACGTCACACGAGAGACGCGGCTGCGACGATTACGTCGGCGCGCAATTTTCATTTCCCCGACCATACGGAAATAATTAAGCACCTACCTACGCTTTAACGCACAATATTTTCTAGAATACACTGTGTATTTTCCGCCGGCATAAAAATACATTACGTACACATTCGCGTCTATTATTACGTTGTTTAAAATAATGAATCTTCTGATACTCTCCTGATTGTTGAACTTTGTAACACTGCGGATGTAAATGATAAGAGAAGTTTTTTTTTATATTACTTTTTAACAATGTCCTCGTTATTCTAAAGATAGTGTAGTTTTTATACCGCACAATAGAATAAAATGTAAATTTTCCGAGCAAGCATCATTTACACTGAATATCTAACAAGTCGACCGTATTACTGACTATTACGCGATACAGCATCTCGTCTTACCAGATCAGTCGGAAATCTACTCAACGAGCTTAGTTTCGAAAGATGAGAGCGATAGCTTGCATTTCCGTAAAGTCCGCGCACCGGGTGCTGAAAACGCTTACGATTTGGCACGAACTTGCGCCAAGGAATTCCAAGGGGGAATGGGATTGGGCAAACTCGACTTTAGTAAGTAATAGAGGTTTAACCCTCTACGGCCGTGACGAAGGATTTACCTCGATCCTCAAGCAGTGCTCACAACGTCGCCGCTCAAGCTGCAGCTCTCTCCAACAACTTGCTTATCTCACGTAAAGATCGATAATCTATGCAGTTATTGCAAACTTTCCTTAATCTATAATCTACTAAGCGTGCTTTCGACAGTCGGTAGCAATCTCATACTTTCGAGCTCGCTACAATCACAGAAAGCTCCGAACAATTAATATATCCTTGCGGGGCTATATTCGATAGGATCGAATCCGGTTTTCGATCGCAGAGAGTGAAAAATAAAAATAAAAAATTGCCACAAAAGTGCGGTTTAAATTAGTTCGTGCAATTTTTTAGCTTTTTATGACCACTTTTTAAGAAATTACTAATTTATCTTGATTATAGTTTTTATATCAGAATTTTACGACATAAAAGTTCCTCGGACATAGTGGTGTAAAAAAGAATTGACCCTCGCCGTAGTTTCAATCTCCGTCTTATTCCGCGTCGTTATTACCGACACCCTTCGGGCAATCCGCTCTTCCGCCTCAACCCTTTCGAGTTAATGACCACGAATGAAATCGGAGCACACCGCTTACATCACGTCGACCGTACGTATAACGACCTTAAACAAAGAACGGAGATCCCGGAGAAAGAGAGGAAAAGGGAACGAAGGAAGAAAGGAAGGAGAGAGCGAAGAAAGAAAGGAAGGAAGGAAGGAAGGCACCAAAGGAAGGATGTAGAACGGCGCGACCGGGCAGGATCGATGGAGCGCGATTGAGGGTCCTCGAAGAGAGGATCCTTCGACCTACATACAATCGTCCCCTGCGTATGTGTAAAAACTCGCGCGGTCCGTCGACTTCCGGTCCCTCGACCGCTCGATGCAACCCGAGCTTTAAGCTCGCTGGGGGAAGCCTCGGGAGTTTTTACGAGCGCAGTTTATGGAAGCGAGCCAGCTGGGCTCGCGATAAACCCGCTGTACCCTCCTGCGAGGTATGTGTGCACATATATTTACACAAAAACGCACGGGACATGGACACATAAAAATATACGCATTCAAGAGTGGTACACTACGCACAGATACACACCAGTAAAAAGACACAAACAAACTCGCGCATGTCGCAGGTGTATATATATAAATATATATATATATATATACGCGATTTTGCGTACAAATACACGAGCCACATATACACACAGAGATGTGTGCAGTGAATTCGCTGTGTGTATTGCCCAAGTCGCGCTGTGCCAAAAACTTCCGTTTACGATTGCACGAAAATGTTGATTGGAACATCGTGATGTGAGCGACGCATGACGCTTGAAACGTTACCGCCAGATTTATCGTGTAACGGATATGTTGGCGTTCACCCTCCGCGTCGTTTACATTCGTGAAATGCAGTTAAGTAAAACGGAATTTTTGAATCACGAAAAAATCCCTGATGTTTTAGGAAGAAACTTTATTAAAAGATTATGTAAATGTGATTTATCTTAAAAATTTGCAGCGCAGTTATCGAGCAAAAATATAATGTTAAACCATGCAAATTTGCTGAACGAGACAGAATGCATACGTAATAGAGACAAAGATCGCGCGAATTCCTACGTTGGTGTAAAAGAAGTCAACGATTTCCGACTTAACGTCTCTCGTTGCTTTTGTCTAGTTTCTCGCGGAATGAATGACCTTAAGTCCCGTATTCGTAGAAGCTCTCGCTCCAGGGGGCGATGAATGGTTATATCCTTTAGTGTTAGTGGAGGCCGCACGACGACCTTTCAACCGCACCCAGCTTTAGTCGCTGTCAGAACTCACCGAGAAAATTGATATAAACGATTTTCATAAAACTACTTACATGTAAAATGATAAACACCCGTTTCACGTGGAGCTTACTACGCTATTTGTTTATATTAAAAGAGCATTATTGACTGAGGATTGTTCGTCGCGCTCGATCGTGCTCTTTTTAATCAAACCGGCGTGAAAAAGAGCCCTCCGGTGAAACGATAAGCGACTGCGAATAATCGACGCATCCAAAATCATCTGCGCTTATCGTACGCGCGTACACATAGATAATGAGGAGCGGTCGAGCGCGTTTCTATGGGACGGATACATCGAGGGGATTAAACGGTGAAACGGAGCGCGGACGACACGTTTGACCGAAAATGCAAATTCGGTCACGTCGAATTAAATCGGCCATCGCACAGGCGCCAGTCGCGCTCGATGCGCGACGCGAGGGCGTCAATCACGGATGCACGAAACACGTTTTCAAACGCAATTGATGTCAAACAACACGCGCACCGAGTCTTCAAAATTTAGCGAATAATCTGTGCGTCCATCGCATTCTTTGCCTTGAAAAATTTGATCGTCATATTTTTAGATTATATATTTTAGTTTAATGTCCATCATTCTCTCTTAACGAAAACAGATATCTATATTGTTTTTTTCTTTATTTCCTGAATTTGATATTGCATTACTTTGCTAGAAATAGATTAATTATTCGACGAGATTCGTGACATTATAATTCAATCGAATAAACAATGATGCAAATAAATTGTGACAACCTTGGCACATACCACGGACGCTTAAGGATTTCGCACTCAACGGCTATAAATTCTAGTGGATTTACTCCATTATTTACGGCGGATGCAATTGATGGCCACGTCGTTGGGGCATGGGCACCCGCATTTGTTTCGCGGCGACACTAGCGAGGGCGTGAAGACGAG